CCCCAAATAACGAAAGGAACAGTCACCACCCACGCTGCTATTTAAGATTCTTGAAATTTGAAATAAAACGTAGAAAATAAGACATCTGAGATCGTAACTCAGTTTCCTTGACTTTTAAAATGAAGTGTGTTTACGATCAGCAAAAATGGCGCCCTAGAGTCGAAGCAGTCTCATATGAAAAGAAGATACCACTTAGACGTTCTTTAAAATGTTCAAAATCATTAACGTTTAACACGTTTCTTTCTGCATTCAATCTTTTAAAGGGAAACTTTGATTTAAACCTTGTCACGTTCAAAGCGATAAAGTGTTTAATGCGATGCTATAGAAAATTATATAAGGAAACTCATGGTCAAAATGGCGTTATTAATATGGTTAAAATGAAACATTAAAAGCTGAATATTGTTGGTGAAAATAAAAGGTAGAATGAAATTAAAAATATCAGGTGAGTTCGTTATTGCTATTTAATGAACAATCTATCATCGACTCTGTCGTTATAATAATAACAAGAATAGATTTCATGAGAACAATAATATCTAACCTGAAGTGACGCTTATCGTAATGACATGTTCACAAAACCAATATGTAGCCATGTGAAAGATGTTGCATAACAAAGAAGTAAGGAATGTCTCTGGTTGAGCCTTGGGATAAATACTGGTAGCTTTAGAGTGTTGAATAATTTTATAGTTATAAGTAGGATTCCAGAACAAGCCCAGTATTTGAAAATACTGATTTCTGATTGGACGGTGATCTAAGTTCCATTATATGTAATAAAACTCTTTTAAATATTGGCTTTTCAGAAGCGGAGTGTTCAGCTGCAAATCCCCGACTTTAGAATCATTATGATATTACCATTGTGGAGAAAATATTCAATAAAATTTAATAAATAAACCTTTGTTAAATACCTGTTGTCGGTAGTAATGAGATGCGAGAAAAAAACATAACATCCTCTCTGGGTTGTAATCAAAATATGCCTTTTTAATTTTGTTACGTAAAAGCAGGTCGACATATAAACTTTATCGAGTAAAGCGACATACCAATACGCTGGCGTACTACAGTCGAAATATTCGGGCAAAATTAATTTTGGTCTCCAAATTTAAGTTTTAATTTATTTATTTTTTTTGTTTGTGTGTGAGCAACGACGAAGTTTTTAGAGAAAATTAAAACAAGGATTTTCATACTTAACATTAGAAAAAGACAGTTGAAATTACTACGGAACGTAATAAGGAAAGAAGGCTCAGAAAATCTGATACTCACAGGGTAGATTGAACGCAAGAGAGACAGAGGAAAACAACGCATAGCGAGCTTGTGTAAATGGATGGCAGAACAGCGTTTAGGAGAGATAACAAAAAGACAAACTTTACTAAGAGCTACAAAGGTCAGGAAATTGTGGAGAGCCATGATCGCCAACGCCTTAAAGTGACACGACAAAGAGAAGAAGTTTATTTCTTGGAGTGATTTTAAAAGATTATTAAAAAACAAAACAAATTGAATAAACAAAAATAAAAAAAACATAAAAAAAAAATGACTTTTTTTTACAGTCTTGGTTTCTTTTCTAAAATTAAATATATATATATATATATATATATATATATATATATATATATATATATATATATATATATAAATTCAAATATATCTCGTCCTGGTACCAGCAATAAAAATATTGTCGGCATTAAATAACCAAATAATACATATTCTATTCATACGAATCTATCCTAAAAATGTTGTCGGCATTAAATAACCCATTGAGGTTGATATGCCGTAAAACAAAATAAACCAAACCAATCAAAACCAAAGAATACATATTCTATTCATACGAATCTATCCTAAAAATGTTGTCGGCATTAAATAACACATTGAGGTGTTTATATGCCGTAAAACAAAATAAACCAAGCCAATCTAAACCAAAGAATACATATTCTATTCATACGAATCTATCCTAAAAATGTTGTCGGCATTAAATAACACATTGAGGTGTTCATATGCCGTAAAACAAAATAAACCAAGCCAATCTAAACCAAAGAATACATATTCTATTCATACGAATCTATCCTAAAAATGCTGTCGGCATTAAATAACCCATTGAAGTTGATATGCCATAAAACAAAATAAACCAAACTAAACCAATCAAATATATCCATGAATATATTTATAACTAAACTACCCGTGACCCGTTTGGTCACTGACAGTTCAGGTTAAAAAACATTGAAGTTGATTTCAACATAAAAATATTGTTGAAATAAAAAATACTTACTGTATAAACAACAATTTTTGAATATTATTCACTTATAATATTTTTTAAATCAGATTAACTTAAAATATTTTTAATATGCCAAAAAATATTTTTGAATCATATTCAGTTGAAAATATTTTTTAAATATGGCAAAAAATATTTTTTAAATATTTAAAATATTTTTTGCTTAACGAAAACTGAAATATAAATTATTACTCTACAAACAAGTGGATGAAACAGCAAAGCGGGATCTCTTTGTGTCTGTCTTTAATATTTTAATTAAAAAATGTCTGTTTGAAGAAGGTTAAAATAAAAATACTTACAGCTGGTATTTTAAAATCTTACTCACTTATATGAGATTAACTTAAATCATTACTCGTCAGGGGTATCATACATCACGCAAGCACAGACTTTTAGTATTACATAGATTCATAAAACCTTTTTGAGTGTTGTTTTTTGTCTTCCAGTTTTTAAGATTTATCCAGAATCTTTTCTAACTTGAATAAATACCTAAATGAAAATAAAGGAAAGTATTAGAGAAACCCGCTGCGTTTCCGTTCTGGGTATGGCTCGATGATCCTGACTACGGTCGAATGATAATGATTAAAAAATATTTTCAAAAGATCTATTTTCACAATTAGTGTATGTGAATTTACAATTTTAATGACAGTCGCTTCATTTATTCCTATTCCTGCCTTTTCCAAGTGCGATAGTGTGAAATGATCATGAGTGAAACGATTATCTCGGAAGACGTTTGAATTTGGCTCACCAATTCAATTCTGCTAACCACCTGTCTACTGATAACACCGTTGGTGTTTAATGAATAATAAATGATAGATGTCTGAAATTTGAATGACATCGTCGGATGCGATGGAGCGAAAAAGGGGACCATTTTTTAAAGTTTAGACGGAAATAGGATTACTTACATCATTTACATTATTCGGACTGTTATCCTCATCTTCATTGTCATATTCACAAACGTTTCGACCTCCTTCAGGTGAGTAAAATTTCGAGCCGATCTCTTTATTTTGTCCCTTTATTTCTAGTTCCACGTGCCATATCTCTTCCGGGTGTCTCCGTTATTTCCCTTTAACTCAAATCTCTCATTGCTGTGGCTTGGTATTAAACTAACAATTCTTTGGGTCTAGTCACTGGATCTTAGGCAACAGCTTTATCAACTGGGCCATCTGTCCTTGAGGGACATAAGTGTATGAATCTTTGGGACTTATAAACCTAATGTTTCAGTAACCGTTTTATTACTAGTTCTCATATTGCATTTTTTCTGTTATTTTTATTGCATTTTTTGCAAGAGCTTATATTGCAATTTTTTGATGTTATTCATTGCTTTTCTCTAGCACTCCTTAATACTGGTTCCCATACTGTATTCATTTCTATTCTTGGTTGGCTCAGGAGATTTTTGTGGCTTAGCATATGTGCTATATAGACAGATACGTAAATAGGAGTTTTGGTCTGAAATAGACCTCTGATAACGAACGAATTCTAAGAAAAAGGAAAGTTAAAGAAAAAGAATCTAAATGAAATCATCTAGATTAAAAAATAATCCCAGCATCCCTCATTCGTGCGCATGTGTAGTCGCACCAACATAACAAATTTAATCCAATGAAGTTCTAAAGGACGAAGCTCGTCACAAGAAAACTTTTTTCCTCTTCGTCATACATTATTCCTTAATATTGTTTTAAATATATAAAAATATAAATCGTTATCTCTAAACTTCGCAGACGACATCAGCCTTCTCCCCCATAAAGAACAAGATGCGCAGAAGAAGCTGGGTCGTGTTGGAGAATAAGCAAAGAAAACTGGCCTTCAAATTAACATCGGGAAGACGGACGTCATGAGGTTAAACAAGAGACAACAAGCCCCAATGCGACCACACCGAGAAGACATCAAGGAAGTCGTTAAGTTTGTCTCCCTGGGAAGCGTCGTCAGTAAAGATTGGTGGAAAGTTGAAGAAATCATGTGCCGAATCAACAGAGCCCAACACGCTTTTAACACTCTGCGGCCAATCTGTAGACTAACATCCGGATATTCAACACCAACAATTTGGTCTTACTTGACGGCTCAGAAAGTTGGCGGGTAAGCAAGACCCAAATCCACAAACTTCAGACATTTACCAACCAATGTCTCAGGAACATCGTCAATATCAGGTGGCTGGAAGTCATCTACAACGACCAACTGTGGGACCAGACAAGACCCAGTGGAGATATCATCGGGAATGCGGATGGATCGGCCACACAGTGATTCTAGTGTCACCAGGCAGTCCCTTGCCCAGGCAGGCCCTTGCCCAGGCAGGCCCTTGACTGGAAGCGAAAAGTGGGTCGACCAAAACAAACTTGGCGAAGAAGTGTTGACGCAGAGGTGAAGGCAGCTGGCATGATATGGGTCAAACTGAAGAGGATCGCCCGGAACCGCGTCCGTTAGAGAGGCGCTGTTGCGGCCCTATGTTCCCTAAGGAATCAAGAACCATAATAAAAAATAGTTATCTCATATAACTGTATATGAGTACAAAGATAATGATTACTATAATTTTTTATTAGTCCATGCTCGCTATTTCTTTGATGGCATGATGTCGCATATAGTAAGGTCACCCTAACATCATACTTATTACAATAAATTCTGACACGGGCTGTCAAATTTGATTCGAATATCAATGTTGAATAAAACTGATTCGAAAATGATTTACATCATTGGTTAAACTGAAACTAATTGAGCTTTCATTTCTTTTAAATTATTAACCAACTGTCCTTACCTAAATTGGACGCAGCCTGATCCTCTCTCGGGGGCTTTCCACATGACGTAGACTCCTTTTTTGGGAAGTAAGAAACGGTGAACAATCACTGTGTGATTGCACTGCTTGGCAACCTGTAGAACGTCTTCGTTGTCATAAAGCTGAAAAAAGGTAAAAAAAGTAACAAAATACTGTTAAAACAGAAACTGAAAAATAAACAATTATCCATCAAAGGCAAAATAAAACGTTTGGGATTTTTTTTACGTTAACGGTTTAAGAGGCAAACCTACAGAGAAGTGTTGATTGCAGAGCTCGAAGGGCAACACTAACTTTTAGCTTTGGAAATGGTGATTTTCTATCGATACAATTTCCTTTGGGGTGTTTCTATTTTTTTTTCGGAGTAAGTATTTCAGAAGACGGCATCACCTTAGAGCTTGACAAAATTCTAAATTAGATTCAAAACAATTTACGAACTTATTTTTTTAAAGCATTCTAAAGTTTCATGGAAAATACGAATGTAACAATGAAGCATTTCCAATCTATTTTCTATATAGTAAAACGTTAAAAACGAACGTTGCTTATTGATTGTTTTAGAAAAGACAAAATGACGATAAAAGATTACCATACTTTCTGACTGAAAGCCACCTAAGATCAAATGGCAACCGTTAAGAAGACCTTAGCTGTGACGAGTTATTAGTTTTTGCAGGCTACTGTCTGTAAATTAATTGCTCATTGGGGGTTCTATCATAATGACTCTGCGTTAATAGTAACATAAGGCCGAAAGAAGGGGGCACCCAGTGAGGATCGAACTCACTTTTCAGCTGTAAGTGATCTAGCGTGACAAGCTTGCTAACCACTACACCACGCCGAGGTGGCCCTGTCACAGCGTTAATAAAGGTTAATCTTAATAGACGTCTTGATTGCTAGACATGAAGTAATATTTTTTAAAAGAATCTTGTAGTTTATTGTGTCATGATCGCTATTTTTTCTGTAACTCATTATCGTGGCCTTGCAAAAAATATTTTATGCTTAGTCGATATTGCAACTTTAGAATTATTGTATTGCTATAAAGATTGTAAATGATGGCGACTAAACTGGTTCAATCACGAGGATTTTCCGGCGAGGAGAGTAGCTAGATAAGTAACATGATTAGAACATGATTTGTCAATGGACGAGAGAACTTTCTTGTTGAGCTAATGGCGATCTGGCACAATGGAATAGAATGGGATCTATAACAAATTATGAAATCAGTACGGTGATGTCGCTGGGTGAAGGTTGTTTTAGCGTGACGCCAATGGCCAGGGTGGAGGTTTCCCCCGATTGAATCAACGGTCACGGAAAGCCTTCAAAGTGGAGGACAACAACTGTCGTTTGATCTGGAGGGGGGATGGGTGCCATCAGGTTTACTTGCCCAAGACACACTCTGAATGGATAAATATCTCCCGGGCTTTCAATCCAGGGAGCTGGTCAGGTGCTCACGTGCTTAGCGACCCTACAGATACACCCGGTCTTGATGATGATGATGATGATGATTTGAATTTAAATGTTTGGGATCTAATATGTTTCTTTGTGTTGCGCAAGAACACACAACAAATATTTGGATGGGTCGAAATTAAACTGACAAAGGAATATGTCGCTGAACGTGCTGGCCAAAAAGGAAAATTTTATGATCGGGAAAATGGAGGTAGCAAATTTATTGTCAATCTGAACAATATCAGGAGGAGGAACTTGATGGAATTTCTTGTAATATTTCATAGCCTCCTGAGTTCTTTATATAAAGGAAGTATGTTCGGTTTGCTTTTTCAAACATGCAGTGACCTCAACCAAATACATGTTAATTACGCTGTTGGTACAGAATCACACCAAAAAAACAACAAAAAAAAAGAACTACTTACAACAGCTCTGATATTCTATCCAAAAACTCAACAACTGAGTCGAAATTTCTCGACACACGCTGGCAACTTAAGTTTTTTTTTTGTAAATTATATCAACTTGAATAAAATTTGTCCTTGTTGAAATTTAATTTCTTTTTTTTTTCTTTTTCGTCATTTCCTGCTTTGGTCTTGAAATTTAACCGACAACACCGGAAATCACTTGCTATAAACCCAGTTAGGCATATAGTGATATTTATAATATCCTAATTTTATAGTATAATAACTTTGTAAACGAAACATTTCCACCTATAGCTCTTTATCGAAGAATAGTTTAATTGTATGGCTTAATATTTGGATAAAATAGAATAGTTCAAAATTTCCTTCAATATCTGTCTATATTTCTGAGATGAGTTACTGTAACTACTTAAACTATTTGCATCACTTGGACTTTTGTTCTCATCCTTACTGCCATATTCACGATGTCCACAAGGATACATGGCCCAGTGGATAAAAGTGTTGGTTGAGTAATCCAAAAAGTGACTTGACCCAAAGAGTTATGAGTTCAATACCTGGCCACAACAGAGGGAACAAAAATTTGGAAAGTTCATTTACTAAAGGGGATTAACTAGTACTGAGATATCCAAAAAAGGCATGGCACGTGGAATTAGAACAATCTACCCCCGTGCACTAAATAAAGGGTTCGGTTCGAAATTCCAACGTATATCTCCTGAAGAAGGTAGGAGCGTACAACGGCTGAAACGTCGTGATGTAAATCCTAACGATGTAAATAGTACAAATGATTTCGAACTATTTTTCCCAATTAAATGTACCTATAATCATGTACTAAAATGATTAATACTCCCAAGATACAAGTAATACCGTGATGTTATGACTCCATCTCTTCTCCTTCAGCTCAAATAGTAGAACAGACTGGGTACTATAGCCTTGGATGGCAACCGGTCTAGGAGTAGGAAAACTCTGAATTCAAACTAGCCTGGGTAGCGTTGGGCTCCGTCAGGCTATTTTGTTCAAGACGCACTACTTCTGCTGCGGCCGTAGTGCATATAGTTCCCCTACGATCCTGACAGGTCACAGGGTCGTGATCGTGAAAATGTTTAATACTCTCAAAGATACAAATAATATCACGTGCTTCTCAATGGCTTTTAGAAATTTCCCCGTATGTTGGTGATATTTGATAACAATTTCTCAACAAAGAAAGCAACATGTCTATTTAAAAATCACAGAAAGAATCATTTTATTTTAGCCTCCAGTAATTAGATTGTAAAACCACGCTATATATATCAGGTGTAACAACAAAAATGTCTACCAATATGCAGGCGTATGAGCATGAAAAAGCATAAGCCTGGAAAAAACAGGTGTCCCAGGATACCACCGTCAGGAGGTTGGTAAATAAAGGTTCGGAATCTGTTCACTTTGTGAAGAATATTCTACAACACACACAATATATATAACAACAAAATTGTCCAAATCGTGTGACAGCATAATTGTCCATCAAATAAAATGTTTAATATTAAAAAAAACAAAAAAAAAACTAATTGAGTTTCTTTTGTTCAGGTTTTCAGATAAGACATTTAGCCATCTTGACACCATCTTGACACCATCTGTCGTAAGAATCACTGAAAAATCCTCTGAGTTATTCGGCTAGAAAGAGGATAGGTTAAAATCATTCTGTATCAGCCTCAAATGTCTTCCCAAGTGAGCAATAGTGAAGGGAAAAAAATATCATTCAGGCCTTCAGTAATGGTACCAACATTTGTAATCTGGCTTCCGTTTTCAAAGTTTATTCAAGAACCATCAAGAGAACGGTGAATAAATTTTAAAAAGAACGAACAGAAGAGAGGAAAACTGGATCAGGAGGCCAGAACAGAAAGAGGGATCATCATTTCAAATTATATATATATATATATATATATATATATATATATATATATATATATATATATATATATATAAGTCCAGTCGAATCCATTACATTCACTTACGTTCTGATACCCTTGGGAAAGATATGAATCTTATTTTTTCCCAGCAGGACAGACTGGGTTCTATAGCCTTGGATGGCAACTGGTCTAGGAGAATGACAACTCTGAATTCAAAACCTGCGGAGGGTCGTTTGAGGAACTTGTGGCACTTAGTGCACCAGGTCTCTGTATTCGGCCCTTCAAAAAGTGTGGATGGTCCTGCACAAAACCTTCACCACTATAATCAAATCTCATGTGCTGGTGTCGGGCTGTCGGTTCCTAGGGACCGAGCTGCTTGACCCTCATACCTCGAATTCGACAAGAGAGTCGAGTATATATATATATATATATATATATATATATATATATATATATATATATATATATATGAGACAAAGCTTTTGACCACCTCTTGCGACAAGTAAACGTTAATCGTTGGTGCCGTGATGTAAAGCGACAGCTGAACTCAGTGAATAAGACGCAAACTAACCCGAAAGACAAGTGTTAACCCCCATTAGAAGAACATAATCAGGCTTCCAAAAAGATGGAAATCGAGCAATGTATGGTAGGCCTAGATTAATATATATCATCAGGAAACTCGATGGCTGAGTCCAGTGAGGACTAGAATAATACTGCATACTTCCTGCTACAAGAAAATCGGTGCCTCATAATGGAAAAGCGACAATTGAATGACAAGACGCAAACCAGCACAAAGATCGGGACATTCTTTGGAAATACCTCATCAGGCTTCTAAGGGAACGGAAGTCGAGTAATGCATGACAAAGGCGTTTTATATATATATATATATATATATATATATATATATATATATATATATATGTGTGTGTGTGTGTGTGTGTATATATATGATTTTATACCAAGCACAATGTTACATCGAAACGAAGAAACTAGATCGGAGATAATCAAGTAAACAATTTAAATCATGCAAAAAGCTTATATCAAATTCGTAGAAGAGCACAGTCTGACGCAACATGTTTCAAATAAACGATAAAGAAAAAGAAATATGGCGATCTGTCAGTACCAAATACTTTTGAACTGGATGTATCAAATTTGCTACAGAAAAATAAAATGCTGTAATTCTTAAAATGCGAAAACTGACAACACCCTCTTTATACCTACAGGGTATATAAAACGCATTGGACGCTGGGATAGGTCAGAAAGCTGAAGTAAGCTTTATAGTTAATGCTGAAAAAAATGAAGCCGGCCGACGCCCAAATTCATATTAAATAGCTGAAGATAATTAAGTTGAAATTAAATATATCATTGTTGTAATTTTTTTTTAATTTATTCGTACTATTGTTCTCCCTTTTGGATGGACATTGAATAGACTGGGTTAAGGGTAGTTTTGTCCAACGCCACAAGATACTACAAGACCATAACATTAACCTGAAAACTCGAGTCATGGTCTTAAATATCGACGTCAGATTTTCATTTTCATGCGTGGCGCCAAATCCGTCCAGAAATATCTAAACTATGAGGTGTAAACAAACGCGTTCTTAGATCAATGATTAAAAATGACTTAGAGCAAATGAAGCCTGCAGGCCTTAGCGAGGACCACCCTCGAAACCTTGAAGACAGGCGCTACGGAATCACAAATAAACAACTGTATCGAATAACACAAACCACATCACTTGAGAACTTTCAACAGTAACAACGAGTAAAATGGATGACACATGTAACTCGATGTGAAAATAATAACATAATGAAGATGTTGACGTTTTATTCTACCCCAAAGAAAAAGCTAGGAATGAAACCCCCATCAAAAGTGAAAAGATTGGTTTGGTTTGAGTTGTTTTATGGCATATCAACACCTCAATGGGTTACTTAATACCGATAAAATTTTTATTATCTGTCTATATTTTTGAGATGAGGTATTATGTACATTATTTACATTATTCGGACTATTGTCCTCATCTTTGTCGCCATATTTATTACAACGTTTCGGCCGTTGTACGCTCCGGCCTTCATCAGGTGTTTGGAATGTCGAACTGAACCCTTTATTTCGCTGAAACGTTGTAATAAATATGACGACAAAGATGAGGACAATAGTCCGAATAATGTAAATACTGAAAATTTTTATTGCTGGTAATATCTTTTCCAAACATGTATTTCTAGTAATATTTTTCCTTAAAAAAATCTATTTCTGATAATATATATTTTTTAAAAGAATTGCTGGTAATTTTTTTTTCCTAAACTGTATTGCTGGTAATAATGTATTGCTGATAATAATTATTTTTAACAAAGTATTTCTGGTATTAAGACCTATTTTTACACTTTCATAGTGTTTTGACCCCAGTTCGGGGGTTAACTATTTGCCCATAGCTTGGACCGTAACAGGTGCTACCACCCCGGGTCAGGGTGGACCTGGGAACCACAACAATTAAGAGGTGGTTTCACGCTCCTCAAGACCTCCCAATCAGAGATCTTGCTCCCGGATGTAGTTTATCGTCTTACAATATTGAAAATAACAGTTAGTGTACTTGAGAAAGATTTTATAAATTTCACTCGATTCACTGTTCAGTCAATGACTGCTAAATGTTTCCTTATAAGGAAACATCTAGTATTACAATTACCACTCTTGGCTATGGAAGTTGTTAAAGACACGACGTTTGAACCAAGTACCTTCTGGTCATCATCATTTTTTTAATTTATTTTTACTTGTTATGTTGTTAATTTGTTCCAGCAAGAGTAGACGTATTTCTTTACCAGGCCCAAGAATTGGACGCCTTGTATCTTTAATAACATTGCTGCCTGTTATGGAGTGATTTCACAGTGGAGGCTTGTATTTGTACTAAGTCGGTCCTAAAAAAGGTTCGACGTACAAAACGTTAGGAACTTCATATAATAGGTATGACGCAGAGAAATATAGCTATGGTCGCTGATACTTTAGTATCCGACTAACGGTCGTCTGGCATCGATTGACTGACCGACCCTCTGAGCCGACTGACTCGTTATTCTTACTACTCCTACTTATTATAAGTGGGAGAGTCTATTAACTATAGAATAGGTGTGTTCCACTATAACACTACCCTATCTGACATGCTTAATGTTCCGACGACCTCCATTCTTTAGTTCCACCAGTTCGGACCTTTACTATTAGGATGTACAATGCTACTTCTACGCTGTCGAATTACCCTAAGACGTTAAACTACATCCGTGTCCTGGGTAAGACGTTAAACTACATCCAGCTGTAAGGCCTCTGATCAGGAGGTTTTGAGGAGTGTGGAACCACCTCTTAATTGCCAGTGTTCCCAGGTCTATCCTGACTCGGGGTGATAGCACTTGTTAGGGCCCCAGCTATGGGCAAATAGTTAACTATTACTAGCAATACTTAAAAAAAAAAATTATTACCAGCAATACAATTTCAAAGGGAATGTATAACCAAAAACAGATTTTTGACAAAAAAATATTAAATTAAAAATTTTGTCAATTAAAAACCCATTTTGTGATATGCATTAAAACAAAATAAAACCAAATCAATCAACCAAAGAATACCTCTATTCATACAGAATGATAAATAACCCATTGAGGTTGATATGCCGTCCAAAAAAATAAACCAAACCAATCTAAACCAAAGAATACATATCATTCATACGAATCTATCCTAAAAATGTTGTTTACATTAAATAACCCATTGAGGTTGATATGCCGTAAAACAAAATAAACCAGACCAATCTTAGCAAAATACATATTCTATTCATACAAATCTATCGTAAAATGTTGTCAGCATTAAATAACCCATTGAGGTTGATATGCCGTAAAAAAAAAATAAACCAAACCAATCTAAACCAAAGAATACATATTCTATTCATTCTATCCTAAAATCTTTGTTGGCAATTACCCATTGTGGTTGATATGCCTAAAAAAAAATAAACCAAACCAATTGTACATATTCTATTCTGATTGCTATTAAATAAAATTACCCATTGAGGTTGATATGCCGTAAAACAAAATAAACCAAACCAATCTAAAGCAAAGAATACATATTCTATTCATACGAATCTATCCTAAAAATCTTGTTGGCATTAAATTACCCATTGTGGTTGATATGCCGTAAAACAAAATAAACCAAACCAATCTAAACCAAAGAATACATATTCAATTCAGTTGTCGGCAAAATAACCCATTGAGGGTTGATTCTAAAACAAAATAAACCAAACCAATTCAAAAGAATACATATTCTATCCATCCTAAAAATCTTGTTGGCATTAAATTACCCATTGAGGTTTCTAAACCAAAAGAATATATTCTATTCATACGAATCTAAAAAAAATTAAATTTACCCATTGAGATTTATATGCCGTAAAACAAAATAAACCTAAACCAAACCAGAACGGTCCTACGGTTTGATATGAAAGCGATTAGGCTTACGGTTACATCACGTTGAAATACTGGTTCCCGTACGATCAACGAAGTTAAGCAACATCAGTACCTAGATGGGTGACCATTTAGGAATACCATGTGATGTAAGCCTTGATGCGCGGGTGGTGTAATTTATAATGGCTCGAAATTGTTAATCGGCGAGCCGAGTTCCAATTTCAGTTGGGTTACTTATATTAGCGCAAACACACTTAGGAAATAAAATATGAGATTATCGACTGAAAATTCGTAAACTAAATAAAATAACATTTCATAAAAACCAACCTTGAATGTTCCAAGACTTTTATCCTCGATTTTGGTGTTATTTGGAACTGCTACAAGCATCACTCCAAGAAGAAGTTGGTTAGGTTCAGATCCATTGATAATAACTGAAACAAAAAAGAAAATATATTTTTTTTAATTTTGGTAACTTAAAAAAAAATAAATAAAAAAATTTATTTTATTCTTAAAAAATACTTTATTTTTAAATGAATATTTCTTTGCTGTAGAGACGTGTGTTGTTTTTATTTCTTATATTTGCGCGAAGAGAGAATGTTTAACAACACGGATAGAGCGAGTGAGCATATAAACCGTGAGAGATTAAATTGTATTAAAATTTTTATTAAAAACCTGGGATATATATATATATATATATATATATATATATATATATATATATATATATATATATATATATAAATCTAAAAGTGAATATTGAAGTCAACACTCAGAGACGACAAAGGTGTTTCATGCTAGATGGAATCGTCAGGCCGCCTGACGATTGCGTCTAACATGAAACAGCAAGTGTTGATATCAATCTTCACTTTTAGTTTTATATTATACGCTCTATCTCTGATATTGAGCAGTTTAACCCATAAATACAGCACACCTTAAAAACTATATTTTTTCATATATATATATATATATATATATATATATATATATATATATATATATGTGTGTGTGTGTGTGTGTGTGTGTATGAAGAAATATAGTTTTGAGTTATGCTATATTTATGTGATAAAGTGCTCAATATCAGAGATAGAGCTTTTGAAAAATATATATATATATATATATATATATATATATATATATATATATATATATATATATATATATATAAACCCTGTTATTTGAACAGGAGTAGAGGTTTATCCTTTGTTCGCTGTTTGGGATTAAGTTTCCAGTTTCATCTAAAGTCATCTTCAACCCTGTTCTTCTAATGTCGCCGCCTAAACAATGCAATTTTATTTAATATTTATCTTTCTTCAATAAAAAAGATATGTGTTTGCCTATTATACAATTCCCACTCCTCACCGGTCTTTTGAACATTAAAGGTTTATCCCTTGTTTCCTAATTAAGATTGGGTTCCAGGTTGTATAGTCCTCCTATTTTCTTTCACTGCCAGTAGCCCATTGCGTCATGGTGGCGTTATCACCTTGCTCGGGGTGAATGGATTAATTGTTTTTATTATAAAAGATTATAATAAAAACATATTGAAATCACTACGCAAAAGCTTTCATGTTTCAATACTTTGATTGTACTTCTTCAGGCGATGGTAAGTAACTGGTAATTAAATGATTTTTAAGGAAATTAAAAAAAACAAACAAATTGTTATATATAAGGTTCAAACAATATATATTTCATGGTTATAATTTATTGAAATCGTAATCACGATCAATTCATCAGACCATTGGATCGTGATTACGATTCCAATGTAATAAATTATAACCATGAAATATTAGTGTTCGAGCATTTTTATTATATTCCTACTCTGTCCAGGATATTGAGTTCTTCCTGGATTTTTATCCTTATTTTATTATATATATATATATATATATATATATATATATATATATATATATATATATATAATATTAGTATTCAATATATATATATATATATATATATATATATATATATAAAAAGAAAGAACATAAAAATTCGTATATAAAATAAAATTTAGAAAATTAAATTCGTGGGAGTTCAATTTTTGAAACATAGTTAAAACTGTGTAAAGAAACCATATTTAAATCAATTAATTTATAATATATATATATATATATATATATATATATATATATATACTAAATGATTGAAAATATATTTTTCGCTACACAGTACTAACCATGTTTCAAAATGGAAGTTAAAACCTTCAAATTTAATTTTGTAATTAAATTAAAAACATTTCATCGTCAAGCGAATATTTATGCTCTGCAAATTTACATTGAGCACTGTTTGGTAAAAATAAAAAAATATCAATAAAAACACCGGATTATATATCTTACTGTTCTTTTCTTTCTTTTTTTTATATATATATATATATATATATATATATATATATATATATATATATAAACCTACGGAAGAGATTTCATTTTTCAACTACTAAATCAAATTTAATTGTTTATTGCTCGTAGGCGTAATTTTCGTTTCGAGAAATAAACATATACACACAATGCCACACACATTTATATACCTATTTTCCGATTATATATATATATTATATACCTATTTGCATATCGACAATCAAAGGTCAACGAGAATTAGTACTCTACTGAGATTATTAGTTTCACGAATAACACGATTCTCAGACGATTCAAAGAACGAAAGAAGAAAAAATGCATCGGATAATATGTGTCTGCATGTGTTTCCAATTTGTCGGTGATGAATAAGAGCAAACGTAGTTGGTCACTAGCATCAAATTAGCTACCGCGTAAGACCACTCAGAACCACTGTGCTCACATCCATTGTTTCTTCTCTATAAACATCCCTTAAGAGTCGGTGAATGTTTTTTTTTTCTACATGGTAGAACCCCGTGATACGCCTCTAATTTGAACGCAGTTTTATATCAGACGTTGTTTTGCCAGTATACCGTACAGCCGTCTGTAAAAAAAAATATTATTGACTGTTGAGAATCAGGACCTGCTTTTTCTGCTACCTCAACAACAATAGGTTCTGACGTCGTGCGCCAACAACATTGCCTCCAGGCATTGATTTCGAGCGACATACACCGACGCACACGCACATACAAACACATACACATATATATTGACAGTTTGGACATAGAAATCAATACTTCATGCTATCAGTTTCATGACTCAAACGATATCGAAATGGTCTGAAAATCGCTTTCAGCTTAAAACTGACACATCATGCAGCGTTGATGTCTACACTATATATCTCCAAACGTTCTATTTCCGATATTAGCTATTCTTTCCTCATGTACAACAAATGGTAAACAATTATATATATATATATATATATATATATATATATATATATATATATATATATATATGTGTGTGTGTGTGTGTGTGATAAAAATAAATTTTAAGGTATGGTATATTTTTATATCAGGATATAACTTATGTAAATAAAGAAGTAGACATTGAAGTAGACAGCGAGCGGCGACAGTCTGTTTCATGCTTAAACGCAATCTTTATGGCCTGAATATGGGACAGACTGTAGCTGGTCGGTGTTGATATATGTGTCCACATTTATACTGACAGACGCTCTATCACTGATATTGAGCACTTTAACTCATAAATATGGCATGCCTCAAAACTATATTTTTATCATATACATACATACAAACATACATGCATATATATATATATATATATATATATATATATATATATATATATATATATATATATATATACATTTTATGTTTAACGTTCTTTTTTTTTTTTTTTTTTTATAGATACAAGTATTTAAGTAAATGCTCTGTTTATAATTTTTCATAGTCGTCCTCGGACATTCAGGTCAGTAAATGTTATTTAATACTGTTTATTATAAACAGAGCATTTACTTAAATATTGTATCCATAAAAAAAAAAAGAACGTTAAACATAAAAATGTCTTTAATAAATAAATTGTCGGACTTTGTCCATTTCTTATATATATATATATATATATATATATATATATATATATATATATATATATATATATATATATATATACTGGAATCTCCGTCGTTAATCGACGTATGAGGGTGAAGTAACTCAGTTCGAAGAAAACCGCTAGCCAAACTACCTGTACGTATTTTTTGATTATATTGGTGAAGACTTTGAGCAGAACCAACCACACTGTTTGCAGGGTCCGAATACAGAGAAATGTTGCACAGTGTTCCACAAGGTCCCCAAATAACCCTCCACAAGTTTTGAATTCTGTTCGTGGCTAATTTGTACACTGGTAACTATAAAAAATCAATTTTCAACTACTATAGTTAAACTGAAGAATGTTTTAAACCTGCACTGATCGAGTATTATGTATACACTAATCGAATTTTTGGTATATAAAGACTTTAGCGCACTTTATATATATATATATATATATATATATATATATATATATATATATATAATGAAAAATGTTTGGTAATCCGTATGGATTATCCCAAGGAGGATGTAATCCAGAGTGCTTGATATTAAATTTATTATTAATTTAATTTAAATAGAAAACAGACAACCTTAAGGGTGCATTGATTAAAATTTATTTCCCCAAGTCTGTGGTTTTACCTGGTTCATCAGATCACCCTTCCAAGAGTGAAAAAATGTTTTAAATTTACGTATTATTTTTATATTTTTTATATTTTATACACTTGACCCTTGAGTTCAAGGGTATAAAAATAATAATGGACCCTTAAGGTTGTCTGTTTTCTATTTAAATTGAATTAATATATATATATATATATATATATATATATATATATATATATATATATAAGAACCAAATAACACACACACACAAACACTAAACAGAGACACATCCCCTCACCAGGTCCAATAAAACTGTCAAACTGACCAGAGAATTCAGGATAAAATGTATCTATCCAGTTCTTATCTCAAATAACAACTTAAAAGAGACTGTTTGACCAACACAAGGAATGTTAAAAGAGATTCATGTGAAAAAGATAAAAAAATAAAAAAAAAATGAAAACTACAGACAAAAAAGTTCATTTTCTCCAACAAAAGATCTTCATTTCTGTAGTTCATTGCTAACAGCAAGCAGAAATATTTAATTTCTCCTCCTGATGATGGCCATTTCGGTCGAAACTAGTCGAGGAATCTAAATGGAATAATAATAATAAAAAACGAAAGAATATTAATCTACAACCCAGTGTGTCTAATGATTTTAATTTTTTTAATTTTTTTATTTTCTTATTGTTCAAAATATAGTAATCTTTATATATATATATAGTAATCGTCAGGCCTCGTGACCTGACGAATGCGTCTAGCATGAAACAGACAGTCGCCTCTAAGTATTGACTTCAATGTTCACTTATATATATATATATATATATATATATATATATATATATATATATATATATAT